TGATCTCCATGTATAATACATAAGGGGGGATATGATCTCCATGTATAATACATAAGGGGGGATATGATCTCCATGTATAAATACATCAGTGGTTCATATAGTGAACTCGGTGTAGAGTCATTCACCCTGAGGTCATCACAGAGGACAAGGGGGCGCTCTTTACATCTGGAGGAAAAGAAATTTAATCTCCAAACACGGAAAGGTTTCTTTACAGTAAGAGCTGTTGGTTGTGGCCAGCTCAGTGGATTGCTGTAGGAAAGTCCTGGATTCTTTCTTAGATACACAGAATATAACTGGATACTAACATTTATAGGGAAAGTTGATCCAGGGAATATCCGATTGCCTCTCGGGGGATCAGGAAGGATTTTTTTCCCCAGAAGGAGCAAATTGGATCATGCTTTGCTGGGTTTTTTGCCTTCTTCTGGATCAACTGTAGGTGTAGGATTATTACTTTTTTTAATGGGTGGACTGGATGGACTTTTGTCTTTTTTCAGCCAGACTATGTAGCTATATTCGAGAAATAATTTCCATCCTGCTCCTTTGATTTTTTCCCATCAGTGAGGTTGAAAACAAACAAAGATTTGACCCCACTAGTGAATAGAAAAATGAATTATTACAATGTTCTTGCAATAAAAAATGCCAAACGGAATTCTACTAGTGCATACCCAGCTTAACATGATCATGATTTTGGGGGAGGGATGCTGAACTGTGGGCATTCAGAATGATTGCTGCCATTAGGATATATTTGTGGAGCATAAAATTAGTAATCTTATGGATTTTCAGAAATTCAGCTTTAACGTTCCTCTCTGATGGGTGTCTGGCCTTCGATTTCCCTACTTACACCTTCTTTGAAAAAACAGTAAGTGACAAGATGTAATTAAAAAAACAAACAAAAAAACCAAATAAATAAACTAAATCAAGCCAAGGAACATTTGTTGTTCTGTAGCATATCTCTGCATTCTGCTTTATATGTATGTAGCGCCACCCCCAAAGGGGACGCTGAGTTGAACTGTTTCTTTCCCCAATTTTAGAGGTGGCGAGGAACTCAACATTTTCTTTGTTCAATAAACAGTCTAGGGAATGTCTATGTGCCTCTTACTGCTGCAGAAACTTGGATGGGGTGAGGGGGGCATGGGATACCTCAAAAACACTGAAGAACAAGAGGACACTTCTCAATCTTTTAAACAGTCTCTGTACTCTAGGGCAGGAGATGAACTGAAACAAGTTCCCATGAGAGGCCACCACAAAATGAGCAATTATAAGGGCCTTCTGAAAACAAGAGAACCTGCACCATCAGTCACTAGGGCTCAGAATTCAGGTCAGTACTCACAATGCCACAGGATCATTGGTTGCCTCCTTCTGATATCCACCAAGCACACTTTAGTGAGGGAGAAACAAAGCTCATAACAACAGCTGAACACCTTCCTCCAACTTCCACCAGATACTCTTCAGTAAGCTTTCCAAACTGAAATCCAGATCCAAAACCTTCATAATAGACCCCTAGCTATGCTGTAGCTGGGGCCACGATGAACCTCCAGCGGAATTCCAGCAAATTGGTTGCCTCCTTCCAATATCCACCAAGCACACTTTAGTGAGGGAGAAACAAAGCTCACAACACCAGCTGAACACCCTCCAACTTTTACCAGATACTCTTCAGTGAGCTTTCCAAACTGAAATCCAGATCCAAAACCTTTGTAAATAGACCCCTAGCTATGGTGAAGCTGGGGCCACGCTGAACCTCCAGCAGAATTCCAGCAAATTGGTTGCCTCCTTCCGATATATCCACTAAGCACACTTTAGTGAAGGAGAAACAAAGCTAACAATACCAGCTGAACACCCTCCTCCAACTTCCACCAGATACTCTTCAGTGAGCTTTCCAAACTGAAATCCAGATCCAAAACCTTCGCAATAGGCCCCTAGCTATGCTGAAGCTGGGGCCACGATGAACCTCCAGCAGAATTCCAGCAAACTTCTATTAAGGGCAGGGCCTCCTCAGGCTGGGGACTCCCTCCTGTGTGCAAAGAAACAAACAGAGGGCTCACAGGCCTAGTGTATTACCTTCTAAAAAATGAGATTTATTGAATAAAAGTTGTATACTCACAAACGAATAAAATCAAAGGCACATCACATAAAAGACAGCATGGTCCAATCTCCCTAGATGGTGGCTGTTGGGGGACTGTAGGCCTCCAAATGGCTGACGTGTTTCGAGGCAGAACCTCTTCCTTACAGTCAACAAGGAAGCGCGTCAGTCATTTGGAGGCCTACAGTCCTCCAACAGCCACCATCTAGGGAGATTGGACCATGCTGTCTTTTTTTTTTGTGATGTGCCTTTGATTTTGTTATTTCGTGAGTATACCACTTTTATTCAATAAATCTAATTTTTAGAAGGTAATGCACTAGTCCCGTGCGCCCTCTGTTTGTTTCTTTGCACACAGCTCCTTGGATTTCCCTGGTCCGTTGAGGGCAGCAAGGCTTGGATTCCCAAAAAGTACTCCATGTGGGATTACTGAAATTGTTGAGCTCATCGTCCAGCGCAGGAGTTTCAGCATTCATTTGCTTACGCTTTTTTATGGGGACTCCTCCTGCAGGACTGGACTCAGGGCCCCCCTCCTGTTCTAGTCCTATTTATGGGGTCTCCAGTCACCTACTGGAAAAAGAAAATTGATGTTGCGCTAATCACAATAATGTCACAGACATTCCAAACCAAATAATGAGATGAGAAGACAATAGATAATACACCATAATATAATCAGTAAATGTAAGGAATATGGGAGTGAAGGGAAAAGTGAAATAATAAAGGTCCAAAATGAGGACCAAAAGTTGTAACAGACAATAAATCGTGACCGTGGGTAAAACACACAGAAATGATTAGGGAAAAATAAAATATTAACTAAATCACAGTAATAGCGGGACATATGAGTCCATCATAACATAAATGAAATAACATGAATACAACTGATGAGAAAGTGAAGACCCTGATGAAGTCACGTGACAGTGATGTAACACGTAGGTTGGAGAGCGGAATGTGGTGACGTCATTTCCGACACGAACGGCCGCAGCCATATTGGTACACCCAGTACACCCATATCAGCACATGTGATTGATGCCTTGTTTGATCTGTTCCCATGTAAGTGCGCATTTGTCTTTACAATAAATTTGATTCATTTACAATATTACACTGTGGAAGCACTTTTTCTTGTCTCCCTGGGAGTGCTGTGAGCTGGCTGTTTTTTCTGGTCCAACGGACCCCTGGCAGGAGTTCTGTGCGCTGGCTATTTCCATGTCCAAAGGTGAAAGATATATTACCACCGCTGAACAGTATGGTCCACCAGTGAGGGGGATATCATCCCTACATCGCCGTTTGGGATTCCTCTTAAAGGGCCCCTGCAGTGTGTCCTGAAAGCCTTTTGGCCCCTTGGGGTCTGGGTGCGGAGGTGAGGAGGCATTTTAGCCAGTGTGGGATTCACTAATCATTTACCTATCCACGTTGTTTTTTTTTTTTTTTTTGGATGCGTTTTTTGTTGGATGTTTTTGCACATGGACTTTATGTCACATTTATGATTTTTTTAGTGACATGTTATTTATTTCTTCATTGTGTTATTGTATTTTACGCTGCACAGTAATACATTCATTTGGTTTGTATCTCCATTTTCTGTTTTATACTAGTTGCACTCTATATATGTTTGCCACATTTATGGTATTTATATGGTCACTTCGGGGGCGGACTGACCATTCGGGCACCCGGGCACTGCCCGAGGGCCCGGGGTCGGTAGGGGCCCATGAGATGCCCCTGGTACCTTTCATAGGCTTTTTTGAGTATGGTTTGAGTGTGGGCGAGGACACAGGGGCCCCATGATCCCCTATTGCCCGGGGGCCCCATGAGTTGTCAGTCCATCCTGGCGATCCCTGTTGATCTATTCTCCCTTTCTTTTTTATCTTTGTATCGTTTACCACTCCGTCTACTTCGTCTAACTTTATTTTTTCTTTCAGCGCCCCCATTGGTCACTACGTACTTTCTATTTTCACACCCCAGGCCTATTTTTCTATGATAAGGAGACTTTTTATGTCATTGTTTGACAATCATTAATTAAAAATATGTTTAACTTCTTTCTATACAATTCACCAAATTTTTTGCAAATTTTTTGTATGCTGCCTTTATTTTTTTTAAGGTCCAGCTAAAGTCCCTAAAATAGTCATTCGGTTACAAAGACTTTGTACTGACATCCCCCATTGCTATATAAATTAAAAAGTCCGAAAATTTTGAAAAAAAGTGTTTTTCTTATAAAATTTTGCAAATAAATAGTCTTTCTTCATAAATCTTGGCCAAAATGTATTCAGTTATCTTTTTAGTAAAAATGAGTTTATAACCAAAAATGATAATTTAACATTTTTTTTTACATTTTTATTTTATTTTTCTATATTATTATTTATGTTTTTGGGGGGGGTTTTTTGTTTTTAACATACTGTCACCCTAGCAGTACAGTGTCACCATAGTGACACTGTACTATTTGTGGAATGTGATGAAGATTTTTTTTTTTTACACTGATTGCTTTTACACCCATAAAGGCTGTATAGGGGTTGTGTATAGGGATTTGCTCACCTTGTGTGTCCAGTTAGAAAAACTATTACTTCTTTGAAGGCAAAAAGAACTGGAGTGCAACAAAAAAATTGAAACAAGCAGATAAGGGAGGAAGTTTAGTAGTTCAGAACACAACGAATTATGTTAATGAATCCCTCCGCCTTCTCTGAGACACCAGCACCTACCAGAAGCTAAGGGATAATCATTTGCCAACATACCAAAAAGTGCTTAACCACTTCCCGACCGGCCGTTGCATATAAACGGCCGGACGGTGGCACTGCAGGGTCGGGTGGCCGTTTATAAACGGCCTCCCCGCACCCTGCTTGTGCGCGCTCCCTGGGAGTGTGCAGCACCGCGATCCGGTGCCCACTGTGTCCTCCGGACACAGTGAAACACCAATCGTCGGACGGGACCTCTATACGAGGTCCCGATCATGTGATCACTGATTGGCCAATCAGTGATCACATGCAAAGTAGTAAGCAAGATGTCACTTCTGACATCATTGCTTACTACATGTGAAATCTGTGAATGATCACAGAGGTCACATGGTACAGGGCCATTCACAGCAGCCTTGTACCATGTGACAAGCTGTGACCAATCACAGCTCACTCAGTACTTCTCAATGAGTGCAAGAATGCAGACAGAGAGAAAGAGAAATGATTGCTTTACATCCTATATGGGTGTAAAAGCAATCAGTGTAAAAAAAAAAAAAAATCTTCATCACCCCCCCACAAGTAGTACAGTACCATGGTGACACTGTACTGCTAGGGTGACAGCATGTAAAAAAAAAAAATAAAATAAAAATGTAAAAAAAAAAATGTTTAAAAATTATAATTTTTGGTTATAAACTAATTTGGATTTTTTTTTTTACTAAAAAGATAACGGAATAAATGTTGGCTAAGATTTATGATGAAATATTATTTATTTGCAAAATTTTATAAAAAAAAAACCACTTTTTTTCTAAATTTTTGGACATTTCATTTACATAGCAAAAAAAATACAAATCCCAGTGGTGAATAAATACCACCAAAATAAAGCTTTATCTGTCTCAAAAAATGGTAAAAAATTCATTTGGGTACAGTGTTGCATGACCCGCGCAATTGTCATTCAAAGTGTGATAGCGCTAAAAGCTGAAAATTGACCTGGTCAGGAAGGGGGTAAAAGTGTCCGGTCTGGAAGTGGTTAATACATTGGTCAATACAGCTCACGATAATGGTGTCATCAATAAGAAAGAGAAATCCTTCTTACTCCCCTCCTTCTGCAGCACCCCGTACTTCTATCATCTCCCCAAAGTCCACAAATCCATCATCAACCCTCCTGGACAACCCATAGTTACCAGCCCGCTCTTGTTGTTGGTCTTTGCTCTGTTTCAGAGCTACAGTGCCCGGAAAATCCTTTTTATCTGACAGTTTTGAGAGTGTTGGACTTCACCAAGCACTCTGGTTCCATCTGCCAGGCCCCTACACCACTATTTTACTCAGTTAGGATAAGTTCACATCAATGCGGGTGGTGCCGCTGCGGATCCGCACGAACATCCATGCAGCCGCACCACCCGCACAGAGGAATGCGGACCCGCCGGCGGGTGTCATTATTTCTAATGGCACGCCGCCCACACTGGAAAACGCAACCGTACTGGGAACTGAGGTTCTCGTGCGGGTTGCAGTTTCCAAAGAAGTGCAGGGACTTCTTCTCTGCGTGTGACGGGGCACAGGAGTCCATCCAAATGAATGGGCTCTCATGCCCATGCAAAACGCAGCCCGCACGGCCGCATATATGTGAACTGGGGCTTAGGGGCCAGACATCTGACACTCCCAAACAGGGGCGGACTGACAACTCATGGGGCCCCCGGGCAATAGGGGATCATCGGGCCCCTGTGTCCTTGCCCAAACTCAAAAAAGCCTATGAAAAAGGTACCAGGGGCATCTCATGGGGCCCCTTACTGACCCCGGGCCCTCGGGCAGTGCCCGAGTTTCCAAATGGTCAGTCCGCCCTGCTCCCAAAACGTGTGTTGGACCATGAGAATTTTTTGTCAGCGGCAGTTCTTAAACTGGATTTTAAATTGATAGCGTGTTATTAGAAAACATATTTTCTGGAAAGAATATGTTTCATAGTAAGTCAAAAAAGTAACAACTAGATTTTCTTTTTCTCTCATGCAGGGGAAATGGAAGAAGAATGCTCTAACAGTACCGGAAACATGTTCTTCATTTCCACATTTTCCTTCTCTCAAACTGGACGATGCCTTCTTTTCATTGCAGCTCTAGTGATATATGTGATGGGTATTTTTGGGAACATGACCATTGTTTTACTGGTGGGTCTGGTTTCGCAGCTCCATACACCAATGTATTTCTTCTTGTGTAATCTCGCTGTTAACGATATTATATTTGTTTCAGTTACTCTTCCAGAACTTCTCTCCATACTCCTGACACATGACCATTGGATGTCTTTCTCTGCCTGTATGACTCAGGTGTACTTCTTCTCATTGTCAGCTGCTTCTGATATGTTTCTGCTGACCTCCATGTCCTATGACCGATATGTAGCCATCTGTAGACCATTACAATATTCCTTACTCATGCGTAAAGATATATGCATGGCATTGGCTCTGTCCACTTGGCTTATATCTGCGACTAATGCAACAATCAATGTGTTATCCGCATCTCTGTTGTCCTTCTGTCTCACGCAAAATGTTGACCATTTCTTTTGTGATCAGAAAGCCCTGTATTTTAATATCCTCTAGTGATGTTACAGGCAGATATATACTGATCTTATGTCAGGATGTACTGTTGGCATTTATTCCTTTTTTGCTTATCATGACCTCTTACATATTCATCATCTCCACCATACTGAAAATTAATTCCTCGGAGGGACGACTGAAAGCTTATTCCAGTTGCACCTCCCACCTCACCACGGTAATATTATTCTATGGTCCAATCATTATAATTTATGGCAAACCAGAATCTGAAGGTTCTAAGGACCTGGACAAGTTGCTGACCTTGGTTTATATGGCTGTGGTTCCGATGCTCAACCCCTTTGTCTACACTTTGAGGAACAAAGATATTTTGAATGCGTTAAGAAATATAAAAAGGAAGTGGAACCACGTGGTTGAGTTCTTAACCTGATTTTCATTAAACAATTTTTCAGCAGATACTGTACCTAATTCTTTTCTATTAGAGCCATGTCCATTCAGGGCCAGAAATGTTAATTTGGATTCGGTATGGTGTTCAAATCCTCTTCAGAGGTTTTGTTCCATCTTGTCTTGAGAGCATGATGTAGCTTCTGCAGCTCTATCAGCTATACATTTTTTCCATACTCTTCCAATATGATGGCTTTAGAAACTACTTTCCCATTCATATTCGGTTCCCTTTCTTGTAGCTAAATTTACCGCAAATTGCCTTTGGGTTTTCGGGGCATAACTGACTTGGGCACATTTCCCCACATTTTTTGGTCATGTCCTGTTGGGCATTATCTATATGATATGCTACGAATGTCTTTTCACCACTGCTTCACTGTAGTCCAGGTGGAAGCACTGCTCCTCGAGCGGTAGTAGTAAGATATTACAAATGCACAATTTAAGCTTACAGCATTTATTTAAATGGCTGCCCAACAATCCATTGCAAAAGCATGGAAAACTACCACCTTAGACCTGTCAGAAGTTAAGGCCTAAGAATCTTGGATGATGATTAAAGATAAAATAATGGGAATCCTAAACATTAAATTAGATTTGTTTGAGAAGGTCTGGTTCCCTTGGATCCAATCCTTTCTCACCTTAAACTTTGATTTTTGACTAATACATCTTTAATTTCCCTGTGAGCTGCCAGGAAAAGACTCTCAGGTGGGATTGGATCCAGGGGCGGACTGACCATTTGGAAACTCGGGCACTGCCCGAGGGCCCGGGGTCAGTAGGGGGCCCCATGAGATGCCCCTGCTACCTTTTTCATAGGCTTTTTTGAGTTTGGGCAAGGACACAGGGGCCCCATGATCCCCTATTGCCCGGGGGCCCCATGAGTTGTCAGTCCGCCCCTGATTGGATCCTACTAGCTGCATATTCTGTCTAGCTCCTTCTCTCTTCATTTCCAATAACCCATTTTGTCTTTGTCTTTGGCTTTCTCTAATTTTCTTTCTTGAAGACTGCTATGGCTTAATTCATACTTTAGGCATCACCATTCGGTGGCTCACAGGTATTCAGTGCTTTCTTGGTATACTGTTTATTCTGTAACTGAAAAATTTACTAATACTATGGTAACCACTGTTACGAGGGTATGACCCCTTGAAACTCCAAATGTCTACTATCACTAGACCTTTAATAAAGATTACTGAACAAATAGAAAAGAATAAGCTTCTCATCAGGGACACTGGACATTGCTGAAAACATGTGAATCTGCATTCTATAAAAAACTAAAACACAGTTTAGATGTACTTTAAATCATGCTTAGAGAAAAAGTGTTGTAAAACTGATAGTCTTTTTTTCTTAAAGTCCACAGTACTTACCTGCCCTCCAGAGATGCTCCCTGTCCGGTGCTTCCATTTTCATCCAGTCTCCTTCCTGGTTTTTGGTCTTCAGCCATCTTAATTTTCCAACCTAGGATGATGTAACTCCTGCGTGCATGCACAATACCAAGTCATGCTAAGATTAAACACAGATAACCACTCACCAGCCACTTCATTAGGTATACCCGTTCAAATGCATGGTAACACAAAATGCTAATTAGCCAATCACATGGCAGCAACTCAATGCATTTAAGCATGTAGACGTGGTGAAGACGACTTTCTGAATTTCAAACCAAGCATCAGAATGGGGAAGTAAGAGGATTTAAGTGACTTTGAACATAGCATGGTTGTTGGTGCCAAACAGGCTGGTTTGAGTATTTCAAAAACTGCTGATCTACTGGGATTTTCACACACAACCAACTCTAGGGTTTACAGAGAATGGTCCAAAAAAGAAAAAATATCCAGTGAGTGACAGTTTTGTGGATGAAAATGCCATGATCATGTTAGAGGTCAGAGGAGAATGGGCAGACTGGTTGCTGTGACATTCAGACAGTAGGGTCAGAATTTGGCGCAAAACAACATTATTATTATTATTATACAGGATTTATGGCGCCATCAGCTTGCTCAGCACTTTACAATATAAAGGGAGACAATACAGCAACAATACAGTTCAATACAAGAGGGTTAGGAGGGCCCTGATCCTTGGAGCTTACAATCTAAGAGGGAGTGGCTGGTGGTACAAAAGGTAATAACTGTGGGGGATGGATTGGTAGGAGGAATAGAAGATTTTGTTATTAGCTGAAGGAAGGATAGACTTCCCTGAAGAGATAGGTTATCAGAGATCGCCTTAAAGTGGGCAGAGTAGGCGATAGTCGGAGAGATTGGGGTAGAGAGTTCCAGAGGATGGGGGAGGCTCTGGAGAAGTCCTGGAGATGAGCATGGGAGGAGGAGGAGGCAAGAGAGCTAGAGAGCAGGAGGTCATGGGAGGAGTGGAGAGGACAGTTTGGGTGGTATTTGGAGACAAGATTGGTGATGTAATTTGGTTTGCGCAGCGCTTTACAATATAAGGGAGAAAGTACAATTACAGTACAGAAGGAATGTGAGGGCCCTGCCTGTGGAGCTTACAATCTAAACAACATTAAAGCATGGATCCATCCTGCCTTGTATCAGTGGTTCAGGCTGGTGGTTGGTGGTGGTGTAAGGTGAAGGTGTGGGGGAGATTTTCTTGGCACTAGCAGGGTGTACCTAATAAAGTGGCCGGTGAGTGTACATGCACAGCTCAGTAAAAAAGTAATTTGCTAGCAGGAAAGAGAGAAGTGTTTATTGCAAGGGAGACATAGTGGGGTTCATTTACTAAAGGGAATTTTCCCTTAACTTAGTGAAGAAGATTAAGCAAATGCCCCAAATGAAAAAAATAATAGTGGATTTTTAAAGTAGAAGGAAAGGCTCTACTTCAACTCTCCACTAAACACTTACTAACCACAGTAAAGTGTAGTACTGGCCCCTTAGGGGTTGCTGTTGAACTGGGTCCCCCTATAGTCCTGCACAGCCAGTGCAGCCATTCAGCATTTTCCACACAAGTTTGCATTCGGAGACAGATACCAGTCATTGAGCATTGGTTTTGTTGTTTATTGAGGGGATTAGAACTTGGATAGGGTAAGGGGTATATAGGATGCCCAAGGGAATCGACCACTTCTATAGCTATTCACAGCTTCTTTTCTCTGACACAGTCTCTGTTGGAGTGCTAGCCAGCAGCTCCTAGTTGTATTACCCCAGACCCTAGATGAACTCCACTTCACCCTGCAATCTGGGTAACAGTCACTAGTAGGGGGCTAATCTGGTTTCCCATCAGAGTGCTCCTTCCCCTATCCGCCCAGAGGATCCTCACCTTGTGAGATGGCTGCTGCTACCAGGCCTATCAGCTGGGCTGCTCCTTCCCTGCTGTACAGATGGTCCTCTCTCAGGGGGCCAGTGAGTCCTGAGCTTTCCTCCTTTCTGCTCCCTTTCCAGCTCCAGGCTTGTGGGCAGGCCCCATCCCACTAGGCCTGCTGGCAGTCTTCCTCCTCCAGCCTCACATCTTCCTGCTCTTTCGCCCACCCGGTTCCACTCCTACTACTGAGCAGCCTCTTCTACTATTAAGGGAGTCTCAGCCCATTGCCAAGCCTCCTGTTGGGGATTAGCTGAGGTCACTCAAGAGTTTAGCCAGCCACTCCTCTGTTGGTTATGTGTTAGAGAAGACACTAGTCGCTTGTGATGAGGCAGAACTTGCTTTACTTGTGTGGCTTAAGTTGCAAACATACAAAACATTTCAGC